TTTATCGGATTTTGAGGTCATAAAAAATACTTCTCAAATAGCTAAAACGTTCTTTTGTACCAACTATTGTAATTAGTTAAAATGCATATAATATGTAAAACACCATGGTGATTGTTTCATGGGAAAAGTACCTCTTTTTGAACTATCCATATTACCATAAAGTACTTTCTTCAGTGTAAAAGATAATTTTATATACTTTCTAAAACGGATAAGTACTATAAAGTATTTCACAAAGTAGAAAATGTCTTGAGAAATAGTATAGAAATTGAAAAATAGTGACAAAATTTTATTTATTTGCCTTTATTAATTTTTAAAAGTACTTAAAAATGTTTTTTTTTTTACATGAGTAAGACATGTTTCTTCTTGCTAATATGAGCATAAGAGATAAAACTGTTAGCATTAAATGAAGTCAATTTGTCAATACATATATCATTTTCTAGGAGAAAGCCTCAAATTTAGATGCTAGTTTTTTGTTTCGATAAAAGTTCTAACATGCAATATAGATCATTAGTGACTCTTCGTAAAAATGCTAGACAGAAAACAACAAAGTGAAATATTTGATTTTGCAAAAGTGGATTGTATTTATGGATTTTGATTACATTAGTGGTACATTCGAAATTTTTATTGGTGCATTTACTAATAAATCCAGATACTCATCTATCGATCAAAGTCAACAATATGAATTTTTTGTTCATTATCAAATATAGACAATGTTTATAATAAATCATGACATACTTCCAGCAAGTATAGCCGATAGTGGAACGAAGTTTTTTTTGTAAGTCACGTCATTTTATTAAATTAATGGTATGTTAAATTTTTATTTTTTAGCAAGAATATCTTTCAATTTTATTTGTTTTTTCAATTGATAACAAGAGGGAATTTCTTAGAGATTATTTAATGAAAAATTTAAATTTCAACTATTTAGTATTCAGATGTTTCGTCGGTGAGATTTTTGACATTATCTTGAAATTTTGAATAAGATTTAGACCATTGATATTTTCGAAAAATCGACCTATTTCCAAATATGATTCTCATTCAAATATTGGAACAAGACGGTTTACAATCTTATATCGATATATTAAGAAAATTATCATTGAAAAAGAATATTCTTGCTAGAAAAAAATCGTTGATAACTTTTAAATCGTCAAAATTAAAATCTTGAATAATTTTTAAAACAAAATTCATATAATTATGAATAGGAAAATAAAGTATATTCGTAATAAACATTGAAAACACCAAGGCAGACAATCAAGAGTGTGGGTGTAGCTGTCGGTATTCTTTGCTTGTACACCCACACCCACACCCAGTGATATTATCGCCTTCATTTTTGAGACTGTTTTCATTGCTTTGAATAAAGAAAATTTTCATTAGAACTTCAAATGTGACTTTTGACAATCAAAACTTTTCCACAATAAATTGAAGACTTATGTGAAATTTCTTACAAGTTGTTAAGTACTTTTCAGTTGATTTCCTAACAAAACTTGACTTTTTACTTTCATTAGAAGTTTTAATCTTCTCCATAAAATTGTAGAAAAAAGTACGCATTTGTACTCGAAAGTTGTTTATTATAGTTGTGAATGAAGAAAAAGTAAATTAGAATAGAAATGTCAACAATGTTACTTATCGAAGATCTATCAATAGATGTTGTTTAGCAGATATCAATTCATATAATTCATGACAATGCGAGAAATGCAACTATTTTGAAAAAACAATCTTTATGCATTCCTTTGAAAAGAACTGTTCTTAAGTACGTTTTCTTTATAAACAACTGGAAATTCTCTTATCTCTCAAACAATAACTAAATATTGCAAGATTTCGCCATAATATTTTCGAACACACTGATTGTAACTATTTTAATTGATTAATCAATGACTCAGATAATCAATAGTGTTAATAATTGTAATTCAGTTTCGAATTAAAATTCGAAATATTATTGTTCAAATTTTGAAATAGTTGCATGTTGTTAAACTACAAAGACAAAGTCTTTCGATATGGACGAAGGTAAATTACGAAGAACATCTTCCAATGATGCATGCCAACGCGTACTTTCTGAAAACATGAATCGACTCCACAGGTTTTGATAAGGTTTTTGAATAGCATGTAAATGAAGATGATCTATTGAGTTATAAGGTGAACGATGAAAGAAAAAAAACAAATGAAGGATCCATTGATATTGTCTCAGTTTTGTCGATTTCAGATGATGATGACAACTTAAGTAAATGTCCTCGATTAAATACATAATGAGATAGTGGTAACACAAGAAGTAATAATGGAGATTCAGCAAACTCAATATGTCGAACGTGCACACTAAGTTGTTCTTTGACAATTTATAAAAAATATTTGCTTCTGAAAAATTTTTCCAAACCTAACATTTATTATGTTTACATTTTTTAAATGCTCAAGTAAGAGTCGATGTTCTTCTGTAAGTGTATTAATAGTCTGAATATGTTGTAATGGTACTATTAACAAATGTAATCCTGCAGTTGGTCTTCTAGGTATAAAAATCGCATATTGATCATCACTATACCATAATAGATTTACCAGTGATTTACCTTGCACAATACAACAAAATAAACAATCAACTACTACATTATTTTCTTTTGAATAGGTAACTCCTTTTCTACTTCCAGTGAAAAAGCACACAAAAAAAGGAAATTTTTATTGAATTTTTCCAAGAGCTGCTGTTTGTCCTTCAGATGTTTGAAATATAGCTCGAATAAGTTGTTTAATTTCCAAAGCTGTAAATTGACTAGCAAATAGTCGTTGCCCATTAAACCATCGATCAACAATATTTTGTAAAGAACTATTTAAAATAAGACATAATTCATTAAATCTTATTGACTTTTGAGCTAAACGAGCAAGAATATTTAAACCAGGACTCAGATCATCTTTAACAAGTATATTTCTTTTTCCGAAATATCTTCAGACGATAAAATTTCTTTTATAAGAACATGACTAGGTTGGGGTGTGGGTGTGGTTGTGGGTATGGATGTGGGGTGTGGGTGTGGGAGTATGGGATGGGTGTGGCTATGGATTATTCTTTCAGAAACACCCACCGCCACACCCACACCCACATCTACACCCACACATCCACACCCACACCCACATCTACACCCACACATCCACATCCACACCCACATCTACATCCACACACCCACACCCACACCCTATAAATAGTTATGTAACATGACCTAACCCTCGCGCATGATAATCTGAATTAAGAGCTGTCTGCCTGAGCCGTAAATATCGATAGAAAATTGCTATCCAAAATTTGGCCTTGAAAGGATTAATTAGACAGACGGCATTAAAATTGTGACGTTATAATACGATACTAGCAATCTAAAAACAGGAAATAAATCAATTGTAAACACAGAATTTTCTTTGAACCGATTTTAAAGCGCTTTAGAAGCATTGTGAAACCATATGAAAATAAATATTTCACTTATATGACCGAATGATAAGAAATAATGATTATTTTCAACAGTCCAATTCAATTTACATATGTCAGTGATCAACTATGCCAACCATCGAACTGTTTAGCATAAATAAATACTATACACACAATTCTACTAGAGTGCACTTTCCGACACTGTGATGTGAGTGTGTAAGCCTGAAATTGAGAAGACTCGTATTGGACTGTGATCAGGAAGCTTCGAATCTTGACCTCTGAACAAAAAAGCTTCAACCATATGCTGACCTATTCTGGTTTTACTTATTCTTTGTTTATTGTGATATGTGACAAAGATGGACATGATGATAGATATCCTTTCGATTTCATAAAGATATTAGCTAAAAACAGAATATTCATTGCATCTTTGTAATAATTCAATATTGATATGATTATATTTTTCAGGAGTAAAAACAAGCTGATTTAAAAGTTCGACAAAAAAATTTAACTTACACAAATAAATATCGTTAACAAATAAAGCATATATAGAAGAAAATGAATTTCTAACAATTTAAATACCTTGATCTTCGATAGATCTTTGAATAGCAAGAGCTAACAGTTCATCCTCTGTCATAGTATTCAATAAAGATTGCAGAAAGAGATCTCTTAAAATCATGTGTTGATCAGGGGCATTTCGACACAATTCAATGAGACTCTTTGAACGATTTTCTTCTTGTTTGACTTCAGTTGATTGTATTTCAGGTCCATAAGGATGATAATCAATTAATCGTCGTCGTTCAAATGCGCCCATGTCATCGATAGCGGCTAAATAGCGGCGTGATATCGCCGCTAT